TTGTTAATATTAGACTGGGTCGAGGAGGTCAAGGAAAAGCATAACCTTGGTGCATAATGGGAAAATGAACAGAGCAAAAATTATCTCAGATCTGTTTGTCGTAATAGCTGTGAACACGAAAGCTGAATGTGAGTGCAGATATAATCAGCAGGAGAATCTGTGATAGCTCAAGATCACCCATCTCTCTAAATGCGGGTTTCTTAAAACAAACCAAACCAAACAAACAAAAAAAAAAGTTATTTTGGGTAGAAAAATCTTGTTTTGTAGAAAGCCTGTGGTGAACTGTGGCTAGGATAGCTGAGAAATGCAGCCTAAGCCATCAGTGGCAGAGGCACAGAGCAGGAGCTGAGCAAACCCAGCGGAGGGTGAGGGGACAGTCGCGCTCCCGGGGCACAGGGAGGTGGCGGAGGAAATGACGGGGCTGTGGGCACGTGTGTTTGGGGAAGCACGTCTGGCTGTGCCTGTCGTGAGTGTGAGTTGGCTGCGACTCTGGAAGGGGGGAGAGAGAGAGAGAGAGAGAGAGAGAGAGAGAGAGAGGGATTGAGACCTGGCACCTCCAGCTCTATCTTTCTTACATCTCCGCTGATGTCCTTGCCACAGCCTAACGTGGGAGGGGAAGGCACTGGAGACTCATTTCCCGTGTGTGCACAGTGGTCCCCTTGGCTTCCCACCCGTTCTTGTCTTCCCTTTCATCCCATCCCTTCACCCTTCCCTGTTCTCTCTCCTGCTGAATAAAGCTATTTAGTGTTGTACCCTCCTTTGCAGAAGCTGCATCATCCCTGCCTGCACAGTTTTTAAAACTGCTTTCTCCACCCACCCTCAGCCTTGGTTTTTCATCTGTGCTGGTTCTTTAGATTAACCATCTTTAAAAAATGAAAAGGCAAAGGAATCCAGTAACACCCCGATTTAGTTGTCATTACTCCAGTCCCTTCTCTTATCTTTTGTCTCCTCTTAATTTCATTATTATTACTGCTATTACTGTTATAGCACTAGAAATAAGCTTTCTCATTAAATACTCCTTATTTGCCGCTCTGAATACCATTGGAGAAGCTGGGGGGGAAGGGAGAGGGATTCAGGGAGTCCTTTTGCTGTTCATGCAGAATGAGACACACACAAGGAACAAATTTAGTCCATCTGAATAGCAACTGAGTTGTTGGTTTGGTTGTTTTTTTTTTTATCAGAACCGAAGAAAATGATCAAACAGACTCATTTCAACTACCCCTCGATGCCTTAGCCATAAAAACATAGACAGAATATATTAAAGCATACAAAAATATCCTTAGCTATGGTTAATGGTCTTTCTCTGGCCCAGGTTTGCAAGGCAGCTCCGAACCAGGGGCTGCATCTTCAGCTATTGCTGCCATCACAGAGGGAGGGGACATCCCTTGGTCTGCCCCCCTGCAGTACCCAGACAGCGTGGCAAAGGAGGGAATTTGCAGCTTTAACACAGAATTTCTTTGTATTTTATATTTTCAGGCCAGAAACAGAATGTGGTACATTAGCATCGATTCTGTGGTTTCATATAATTATTATTATCTTTTTTTTTTTTTTTTTTTTTAAAGTAGTACAGAAAGGAAGGAAAGAAAAAGACAGAAAGGAAAATAAATCATCCCTTATATACAGTCAGAGCATACACAGCAACAGTTCCTTCAGCACTGGGTGCACTGTGAGTGGGTATTGATGTGAGCAGCAAGAGGTTGCATGTTAGAGATCTATAACACTGGTACTGTTAACCAGCCTCAAAAAAAGGTAGTTCTTTTGTTTGCCTTTCACCCTGTCTTTAAAAACACAGTTAAATATGAAGAAAATAATGCTAATTACCTAATTATAAAAGGGAGATTAGTCCTATTAAGTAGATCATTAGAAAGGGAATATTTAAAATATTTTCCTTCCTTTGATATTCCCCAAGCATCTCTTGGACAAAACTGTCACAACTAACCCCAAAAGCATCTTTTTTTTTTTTTCTTTTTTTTCTTCCCTTTGAATTTGGAGCCAATTAATATGCCAGAATAAGGACATCAAAGAGAGGGAATGACTTATCTCTGGACAGTTGTTGAACGCAAAATTTGGAAGAAAGAATTAGGGAAAATTTGTCCCTGCAGTTGCCATAAATGCAGTACAAATATGATAACTCTCATATACACCAATGGAAATGGCCTGGAGCAGGATGAGCGAATGGATCTCCAATAGCTGGGTTGAAGTGACACACTGGCTCTTTTATTTCTTTATTACCCACATATATTTCCTGTAAACTTTCAGAGTAGATGTGGGCACCCTGTGGAGTGCCAGGTAACAACAGTGGCACCCCTCTTTTCACCAGTGAATGTTCAGAGGGTGTCAGGATCTCCAGGTGTCCCCTGGGGATCACCAGGAGGTTGTCTCTAGAAGAGGTTACCCTCAGGAAAGGTTTCTGCCTGGAGATTTTGGAATACGTCCTTCAATAAGGGCCCTGCTCCACAGGGAGGATCCATCCATCATCCTGCTCAGGGTGGCAAGTCATTGGTGGTCATCACCTCCCTTCAGGAGGAATGGCAACAGGCAACAGCAAAATCAGCTCCCACTTAGGAAATCACTGCACCTTTGAAGGCAAACACTGCTCAGTTTACTGGAGCTGTCCATGCAAGGTGCAGGAAGCACAGAGGTGAATAAATTCCAAAGGCAGGATTGCCCCCGTCTTTGCAAACGTGGCTGGAGGTTGCTGACACCAACAAACAGCAGGTACAACTCCAGAGGGCTGCAGTCACTCGTGTGTTTCAAACACAACCCACAAATATGCTAAAAATACACTGGAATACAACCACGGGATGATTGTTTGTTGGGATCAGCCTCGTCTCGGATTTACAGGGGTAAAGCCATGACTGCACTAACACATTTCCTTGTAGCAACAGGGAGTCATCATAGAAATAAAGCCAGTTAATATATATATTTTTTTCCATATACAGATAATATTTTAACAATCTTAGTTGACTTTTTGGAAGCTTCCTGGCAACCAGCTGTAATCAGCCCTGCTGGCTGCAGTGCTGCCTCGTGGCTTTGAGGAACACACAGCCTAGTCCAAAGCTGGAGAGCCAGTTTTTCACAGTTAAAATTCCCTACTGATTTCAGAGAAGGGTTTAATGGGGAAACCAAACATAGCTTGGCCCTCAGTTAGCATGTATTTAGGTAAGGATCTTTTTGCCTAAAACATGACCAGGCACCCCAAAAGACAAGGGGTTCTGTACCTTCTCTCTGTCCTCCCTGTTAGGTTTGTACATGGACACTCAACCCCTCAGGTCACTTGGGAGTTTCAGGATGGATCAGGCCCTTCTGGGTTTGAGGCACAGGAAGAGAAATGTGCATTTGTTTAAAGAGAGAAAAGCCTGGTTTTAACAGTGCTGGCTTGTTTGGTACTGGGGGGGAGGGAGGGGGGGGAATTTTCAGTGGCTTTGGTTAAAAAGCAGCTGATTTTCATTGAATTGTCTATGAAACAGTCCTCTCCCAGTACATAATCTCATTGCTTTCACAGATGATTTTATAGTCTCACTGAATAAAAATTTTGATCAAAAGGCTATTGCCATTTACACAAGATGAGATGTATCAAAGTGATGACAACAAATTCTGACTCCTTAAAATAGTGCCAGTAAGAAAAAAAAAATCTAAAAGTCACTCTTTACACTCAAAATTAATGGCTAAAACCTGCTGTGCAGGAAAACAAGTGATTTATTCTGTGCCTGTTTTCTGCTTTATAAGCCTGCTAGAGCCTTGTAAGAGTAGGTGGCTCTTCGATGCTATAAAAGAAAAAAAAAACAAGCCTGTGTTACATTAAAATACGTGTAAGATTTTTGCAATTGTTCCTCTATTGGTGGTAACCTGAGGATAGAGAAACATGGACAAAGCACAGAAATGCCACCCAGTTCATTATCCGGAACGTTTTATTCCCATGTAGTGCCCTAGGAAGGGAATTTCAAGATGCTCTGCCTGGTGTTACAAAACTCCCTCACCGTCAATTAGTGCCAGGGGAGTTGGTGAAAGGATCAAGTTGCTCACGTACTGGAAAGCAAAAATCCAAAGTACAGGGAAAGGAAGCCTTTATTTAAGGGCAGTCAGATAAACCAGCTGCGTGATTCTACATCGTGAAATCACTGCTTTATATCCATCAACTCCACTTTACCAGTCATTAGTAAGGAGGGTTCATCTGCTTTCAGCCTCTGCAGAGATTTTGAGGGTTGTTCTGTTAGTGAGGGCTGGTGGTGGGAGGGAGGGACACGAGCCAGGCTTTGCCAGCAGTTTACTACAGGACCCAGAAGTAGGATCTGATACCTCTCTGTCTTCCCCTGACAGTGGTTTTGCTCTTCAGGCACGCAGGTTCCATCACTGACACCCAAATAGCTTTCACCATGGCACCACAGGGCACAGAACAAGGGGTTCTTTGCTCTTGGCATGGCTTAAAAAAGAAGCGTAAATTGGGCAAAGCTACTAAAAGCCCTTAAATTTAGTGGGTTTTTTAGTCTTTTTTATCTTTCTGACGAGCACACTTTGGCAGTGTCTCGCTCATTCGGGTTTTCTTGGTTTTTTTTTTTTTTTTTTTTTTTTTTTTTTTACTTTAAGGAGTCTTTGCAGTATGATCAGTTTTGATACAAAATACTTCTAGGGGTTCTGATGCAGTTTTTCTGGATCTTGCAGCAAGGAACAAGTGAGCTGTACTTAAGAACCCTCAGAAATCCTGTCCCGGGGACAGGGTCAAAACTTGAGCCTTTCTGAGGTGCACTGGCTCCTTGTTGGACTGACATCCAGTTACAGGTAGCACATAAACAGAAATAGAATCCCAGTGTCATGCTTCATACCTTCAGCAACATGATGGGCGTGAATGTGTGCTAATTACAATGGGTAATTTTAAGCTTTCTCATTTAGGTGGCTTCTTTGCTCCTCGACTTTCATTGCAACACTCAGCATGAAGAGCAGAAGAGGTTAAACTGTTGCATTTTGTATACAGGGAACCATTCATGTAATATACACCAGTCTGTAAAAACTGTAAATGCTATTCTTTTTTATTTTAAACAGTTTTCTTAGTTTACAAAAGATCAATAATTGGTACCTTTTTACACTCTCAGATTCCTGAATATTGACAGATCTTGGAAGGGAGTATTAGCATATGAAACCTTAAGATTGGCTGTCCTGAAGGTTTTTAAGACACGATAAAGCTAAAATATCAAGTCTCTGGGACAGCCCCTCTTAACAATTTGGGCAGAGGTGCACGTCAGAAACCACCAGCAAAGCCCAGCAACCCCCCCCACCCCGTGCCACTGTCTGCCTGCACGCTGTTATTTGGTTGCACACTGTTTAAATCCCAAAAGGAAAATCACACCTCGCATTCCCTCGCTGGCTGCTGGTGACAGGAACAAGATCCATACTCATTAATGATCACCAGGGCTCCCTCAATGTGGTTGGGTTTGTAATCAACATAATACTCCTGGGCTGACATGGCAGCCATTTGGTGCATGGTCTGTTTCTGCTTCTGCTTCCTGCGCTGTGTGACAAAGCACTGTCTTAGTTGCCTTAAGCCGGCTGGAAAGCACTTCCAGGAGACGTACAACACCAAAACCACGATGAGGAAGGAAAAAATCAGTGCCATGGTGCCCGTCACCACCTTGTGAATCTGCACGGCGTTCTCGGAGTTCTCGCCGGGCATGGTGATGGTGACGGCGTACGTGGTCCGGTCCTCGCCGCCCTCCGGCGCGTCGTAGGTGGCGGTGGCGGAGCCGTAGCCGAGCGTCTGGTCGCTGTTGTTGGTCACCGGGGAGAAGGTGTTGACGCTCGTGGGGTCTGCGTCTTCGCACAGGTGGAAGGCGTACACGGCGTCCAGAACATCCTCGCCCTGCGCGTACTCGGGGGTGGCACAGAGCAGGTTGCTGTCGTAGCGACCCTGGAAGTTGCTGAGCCAGGAGGCCAGGGCGCAGACGTTCCGGCTGCAGTCCCAGGCGTTGGCGGAGAGGCTGATGCTAGTGAGGGACTTCCAGGAGTCCAGGACCCGGGAGTCGATGTAGGTCAGCCGGTTGGAGTCCAGCTGCAGGGATTTGAGATGAGGTACACTTTCGAAAACGTGAGGTTCGATGTATTCGATTTCGTTGCCGGAGAGATCCATCTTTTCCAGTTGCCATATCCAGTCCAAGGTGTTTACCACGATGGTAACTTTATTCCTTCTCAAGCAGAGAGAGTGCAGGGAGATGAGCCTGGGAAAATGGGCTAAATTCACTTTCACCAAGTCATTGTGCTCGAGGTGCAGCTCGGTGAGTTTGAACAAGCCCGCAAAAGAGTTTCGAGCCAGGCTCTTTAACTGATTGTATCCTATGTCCAGAAACTTCAGGCTGCGACAGTCCTGAAAAATTCTCACCGGCACGAACTTGATGGCGTTCGACCGCATGTGCAAAGTTGTCAGTTTCCTCAGCCCGTGGAACAGGTCGGGCTCCAGAGACTGTAGGTTGTTGTAAGATAAATCCACACTGCGCAAGTTTGGCATGGGGCGGAAAGTGGTGTTGGGCAGTTGGGTTATTTTGTTGGAACTCAGGGTGAGCTCTTTAACTCGCCGCAATTTTTGAAAGGCATTCCCCTCCACTGAGCAAATGTGATTGTGATCCAGATAGAGCCACGTGAGCTGCATTAACCCTGTGAACTGTCCATCATGCAGCTCTGAAAGGCTGTTGTACCGCAGAGACAAGCCCATCATGCCCGACAGGTTGCGAGGCATCTCTGTGAGATTCAGTGATTCACAGTACAAAAGCCTGCCCTCACACCGACAGAGCTGTGGACACCCACTATTCACAGCTGGAAGCATTTTAGAAAAGATACCCAGCGTACACAATATCAACCCCGGGGGCTTCCTCAGCAGCCAGTTTAAACAGAGACCGATAAGAAGGAAATCCATTAGCAAGAATATTTCCAAATATGCTTGAGAATGTCCATTGAATCTTTTCAAATTCTACATCATATTTTATTTAAAGGGTGAAAAAAAATAAAAAAAAAAAATAAAAAAAGGCAAACCAACAAAACAAAGCCCGAAAACCGAAGCAAAACAGCAAACAGAACAAACACAGAGGCAAATATTTCACTTTACAGCATGCAGGAGCTGTGCAGCATTAAAGTTCACAGACATTCAAAGGTAAAACGATAGTGATTTTGTTCATGTTAAATGCTGCAGCAAAGGAAAAAAAAAAATCTTTCTTCATGAAAGAATTTAATTAAAAAGTGTCTTACCCACCCTTTTCCAGAGAGTGACAACCTCCATTCAGTTGCTTCCTTTGTGTTTGGACTAATTATATGCAGAGCTAAAAAAGACCCCTCTGTGCTACAAATTCAGTCCCTTTCAATGTTGTGCAAGGCTGGCAAGCTCACAATGTCTCACTTCGCTTCTGCTCAACGAGCGAAAGGCTTGTCCAGCTAGCTTTGGAGCTGCCTCCTAGGACCTGCAAGTTTCAGAACTATGTACATGAGCTTGATCTTCTCCTTCTCCCTCTGTCCTTTCCTCTGCAGTTAACACTGTGGCGTGAAAAAAACTCCAAACTCTTTACTAACGACTCCACGGGCTTTGTCAATCTGTTTAATGTCCGTCATTTGCAACGACCATTGACCGGCACAACCTTTACTCCAGAGAGAGGTTACCATTCATTCACTGACCGGCTAAGGGTCGCTTTATTTCCCATTCTTTGTTCGCTGTGCTTGTTAGGTGATGCTTAGAGCAGAGAGAGACAGCCAGAATCCCTTCCCTTCAGCTGAGCAGTATGTTGCTAGAGCATGCAGAGGCACCCAGTGTTCACTGAGTGTCGTAAGCTGCTCATGATTGTACGCCTGCACTGTGCATCTCAGACATGGGCAGATTGAAAAGGGGTGGGCATAAAACCAACATCGGGAGCGAACCAGGAAAGTAATATATGCTCTTTGATGAAATGGAAAATACTTTAAGCCTATCTCGCCATTTCTCAAACAGGCACGCACACACAGCCGCACAAATCATCAAAAGCGAGGCAGTGCTAAGTAGGAAGCTTGAGAATTAGGATTCTTCTTCTCTCTTTTTTTTTTTAATGGTGCTTTTGTTTAAAGTCTGAATTTATAAGCTGTTAGCCGGGAGAGGGAGAGACTCGATTTCATGGTTTGGGAAGGAATATGTAAACCGGTCTCTTTGGATTGCTTTTTTCTCTCTTAGTTCTGATGATCAGATTTGCCTTTTGGAGTCTTGGGGTGGGGGATTGAAGGGTGTGGAGGTTTTGGGGGAGTGTGTGTGTGTGGGGGGGGGAAATGTGTTTTTCTTCTGACATTGTCTAAATAGAGCATGATTTGAAATTCTGTGCATTCTTTCTCATAGAAATGCAGCCAGAGCTCTGCAAATACGAATGTCTCGTTTCATATAAGCTTTAATTACATTTGGTTCTTTTTCCATCCTGCATATTTTGTGTGTTCAGCACATGCCTTTCCTCAAGGCTTTTTCTTCTCCTTTGCGGTGTGTGCCGTGGCACACAGCACCAGAATCCTTGCAGCAGAAAGATCACTGGGCTTTTGGAATCAGATCGATGTACAGGTTGCTGTGACCGTGTCGGCAGCGTGCAAAGAAGGGGTCTCAAACCCCAGGAGTTAATAAGTTTTGCAGATCGTGCTGGGTTTTGTGTGCCTTGTACCAAAGTAAAAAAAAAAAAAAAACCAAAAAAAACCCAAAAAAATCTTTGCCTGACAATTTGCAGCCCTCGTTCTGTGTGGGAAATGCGTCGACAATGAGCTCTGTAATTTTTACTGACTGAAAAATGTGTGGTACTTCTGTCAGGAAAACGCTGGCCATCTTTTCCCGTTATGAAATAGAGTCTCCAGCCTGCGTGCTGGTGAATGCAACCAGAGCTGACAGCTCCCAATTCTGCACCAGTTCTCAGTGAAGAAGTTTCACGTGGAAATGCAAGTATTGCAGAAGAACGTGCTGATTTTAAGTCGCCATCGGGTGGGAAATGCAGGAGGGACAGGGCAAAAGCGTTGCATTTGCTGCTTTCCTTTTCACAGCTGTACTAATTTTTTTTTGAAAAGATCTTGTCTTGGAAGCGTGTGTGAGAGGGCTGATGGTTGTGTCTGAGTGTGGCTGGCTGCTGGGAGTGTGTGCTCGGAGAGATCAAGGAATGCAGTGATTTGATGCAGCAAAAGTTGCTTTACAGAGGTCCTGGCAAACTTAAAGCTCTTGTGCATAAAAATGTGTGAAGGAGATGCATTACTAATGCATCTGCCAAAACCAGTCTTAAATAAATTGCAAATATAAACCACCTGAACTGCAGTTTCAGAACCTGGGGATCAATGTGCTTTTGTGCTCCCTGTTCAGTTTATTTACATTTTTTCTGCTCTTCACAGCATTTCAGTGGCCTCAAAGCAAAAAAAGATGATGCTTTGATAGTATATGAACCTCATCTATGTTTTAGCATTTGGGCAGGAGAGCTGAAGACAGTTTTCCTCTCCCGAAATCGTGCTGTTTGATTCAAAGCAGGCTGTTTATGCGAGTGTCCACTGGTTGCAGTGCACCTTAATTCTGTTTCTGAGTACACAAAAGCAAGAGGGAAAGCAATGACAGGATCAGCAGAAAGAGCACTGAAGCAGGAGAGGCTAAAAAAAAAAAAGACCTTGTCCGAGAATGTATTCCAGATTGCCTTGATGAATATTTTGAGGCAAATAGCAGGGGGAAAAAAAAAATTAAAAGGTGACTTGAACTTTACAGATGCTGAAAAAAGCTTATAAGCAATGAGGTTGTGTCCCTTAAAAACCTGCAACCCTACAAGTCTTCATGGGGGAAGTCTTAATGCCTTCTCCCAAATAAAGATGTGGGGGAGAGATCTGCAACAGTAGCCCTAAAAATTTCAGTTCTATCTTCAGGGAAAGCTGCCATTTTCTGCAAATCAGATGATGATAATGATCACTTAGTTACCATTTAAATGCTACGTATAAAGTGAAGAATCCCTCTACTAGAGATGAAACTCCTTGATGCTTCACTGAAGAGCTGAATATTTATTATTTTTTTTTATTTTTTTTCGCACTGCTGCTTCTTACTCTCACCTGGGACACAGCCTGGATCCTGCCCAGTGTGCCTGTTCCCACACTGGCACGTAATCCATTATCAGTTGGTTTTCAAAGGTAGAAATTGAAGCGGACAGCAGCAAACCTATATGGCATCAGCTGGAAGACTGACAACTAGAATTAGGAACCCAGAATTAATGGCCCTAAGCACACTGTCTCAAAGCTCTGGCAGAGGTCTGGGGGATGAGAAACCCTACTTTTTACTTATACAAAATTTGGTTGTAGAGAAGATTCCAGGTAGTCTTTAAAATGAGAGACCTCAGTGTATGTTTGGGGCACAACCTCAAGAACTGGGTGGGGCACATGGATCTGAAAAGCCAAACTTGGGTGAACGTATGTCTTGGCCTGAAATATCTTTTCTAAATTGGTTTTCTGTTATATTTTTTTGCAATGTGCCTTTTTTTTTTCCTTTTTTTTTTTTTTTCCCAATAAAAGTAAGAATCTACTTTGAACATGATTGTAATGCGAAGGGCTTAATTTCCACTGCCTGAGCTGTTATCACAGCCAACTGTTAAGTTTACACGTTTTGTGGAGTTTCAAAGCCTCTGGCAAGTCTCTGTAAAATTAGCGGGTTTAAATTAGCTTTATTAAATGTGCCATTATAAAATATTTTAAGAATGGCAAACTCAGTTTATACGTGTTCGAGGGAGCTCGATTAAATCAGATGTGAAGGAGGTTGCAGAAGAACAACATGAACAAAGTTTTGGAAAGTTCGAGTGGGAAGCCACTTCTTGTAGTCGTGACAAGTGTAAATCCACTGGCAACACCCCGCAGTGATTGTCACAATTGTCCAGGTTGAGAAGGGGAAACATCCTGCAATGTATTTGGTCTCCACATTTGTAATGTTGAGTTCAGACTGAACACTGAATCATGGAATCAGTAACATTGGGAAAGACCTCCAAGATCACCCAGCCATTAAATGTCCCGTGGGATTTAACTGGCCTCAGAATAATTGCATTCTTACTAATTCCTTGTTTATTCCATCACTGTTTGTGCCTGGCTATTTACCTTGACTTACTTGCAACCCAGGACAGGGTGAATAAGATCAGAATCTGGCCACTGATGTCTAACTCTGCGTGTATACATCTTTTAATAAATTCACCAACAAAATACAATAACTCAGAACAATGTATTAAATACCGAGTATAGTTCTTCCTTCTGGTATTTTCTGAGTGGTTTCTATCAGAGTAATAAAAAAAGTGGGACTTTTAGTGGTGATTTTAATTTCCTCTCATGAATGGAAGGACTCAAACCTTGATCTTTGGTAGTCTTTAATTTTCAGGGGTGCTGAACCGTGGCATTTTGTATAAAGGAAACGTTTGAAAAACAGAAAAGGGAAGAAAAAGACATGACTCAAAGTAAAGCAATCTGTTATTTCTCTGGTGTTTCTGTCTTGGTCAACCTGGACATTTATTGGCTGCCCCTTCTGTATAGAATTTAGGATTTCAGCTGATAAGAAATCCAGCTCCTGTACAACGTGTCTCTTTTAGTAGATATAAAAATGTGTTATATTTTGCAAGATTTTGACCAAAATACCCCTGGTGACTCCATATGTCTTTTAATTCTCATAGAGCCTAACAGACACATTGGATTTGTTAACACCTGTAAATAATAGATATTCTTCTGTAAATGATGTTCTTGTTTGTGACAAGGTGCTAAACACTTTTCTGTCTCATTGCAGCCGTTCCATCCTCATCATCCACATTCAATCCCAGCTGGTTGTGCATAACTCTACAGAGTCACTCAGACAAGATACCTGTGTGCAGAATTGTCAAGTCAGAGCAGAAATGTCAATTTTTAGGAAGAGATATCAGCAGTAAGATGAGGTTTCTCTCTCCTCTGTTTATTACTCTTAGACTGCTTGAATAATCTAAAGAGTTAGTGACTCTCTTAAGTACCTGTGAAGTTACCTACGGATTTCTGGGCGTGCTATCAAAGCTCTGGACAGTGTTATTGAATGTCCAGGTGTAATGGAAAAAAGACAACAAATTAAACTATCCTTTTGTGATTGCTCAACACACTGGTGAAGATCATGCAACATCATGGCTAAGCAAAGGCTGGGGTGTTGCCTCAAATGACCAGGATGGTGGAACTTCTGGTTTTCAGGGAAAGTGAAAATTTAAACCTTGTGTTTTGATTAACTCTTGCTAATTTATCTCTCTAAAAATGCCTTGGGAAGTCTTGGAGGAAGCACACGTGGAGTGCCATGATGAGCAATTGTATAGGTTTTAGTTGGTCATATTTAATTGGAAATCAATCAATTCCACCTTCAGAAGTGCTAAGCAAGACACTCCAGAAAGGTTTGTCTCAAGCCCTTCCCAAGCATTTCTGGAGGTGCCAGTGAATGAACTGTGATTAATTTCCAGTTAGCTGAAGAGCAAAGAGGGCCACAGCTCATCTCATCCACACACTTGAAAACATCTACCTTGCCCTCCACTACTGTTTATTCTTTTATATAAACTCTAGTGCTAGATGATCTTTTATTTGTGCTTCAAGACTTGTTCTTACATGGAAGTACCTACTCCAAGGTGTCCTTCTCCAGAATAACTTGTGTTGCTCGGTCTTGTCTTATGTTGGGGCAGCCCTTCTGAAGCAAAACTGTTCACTCTTCTTAAGCAACGGCAAAACTTTAGGGGCAGTAAACATTTTTTTTAGATTCCCAAGGTTCAGGAAGTAGAGAAAATTGAGAGGAAGTTATGAAATCAATTATTGAAAGCTGTGGTGAACAAGTTAAAAGCTGTTCCTGGCAGTCTTCGGTAAAGTCTTTTTACAAATGGATGAGC